TGTACATGTAGGCCTATGTCTGTTTACCGTTTACGTGCATCTTCCTTATTGGCAGCGCTACAGGGGGCATGGGGGACATGGGGGGCATGGGGGCAGTGCATACCCCCCCCCCATCAAGTTTTCCTTGCGCCTCCCCGTGTGCAGCCAACGTCTTTGAACATTTGTGACCTGCCATAGCATAATGAGGAATAACCCCCACCTTTGACTGTTAACGTTACGTCCATCATATTAAAGCGCAAATCATTGGCTTTCCAGTGATACCAAATTTATTTCTGTAGCTTTATTTATTCCAAAGATACTACGCAGGAACTTCAACAGTGTCCTGCCAAGTTTCGCTACCCTCATTTCCAGAAAAATGGCATTGAAAAAAAGACACGCATTGCGCCACCAACGGCAATGAAAAACGTTCTTCAGTTTTTCCATTTTTGTGGGTATTTTTTTTCCCCAACAAAAATGCACAGTGTGAATCTTGGATATCTTGGCTACTCAAAAATACAAAACAATCAATATCGATTTTGTCATGATTTTTCTAGTATTTCTGATTTCAGGCGTCGGTTATTCAAAACAGGATTTTAGGGGAAATTCCTCATTTTGCCTCAGTAGGTCACATTTGTTATACATTTTGTTTTTCACCAATCTGCGGTTTGATACATTTCTCATTCATAAAAACGACTACACTTCTAAGTTGCTCTAAGTGGTTTTTTCCGGGCCATTGAAAATGGGCACGCGCGCGTACACAGGCTTAAGATTATATTTTGACTGCCCCAAAAATATGTCCTTGCACCCCAAATTGCCGCCACCCCCCCCCCCCCCCGGAAAAAAAATGAGAGTTTGGCGCCGCCACTGATCTTCCTCCGCAAACCCTTCGAAGAGGCAGTTGATTTGTTTGGCCGAGAGAATAATTTTCTACTTCGACTCCTTTTTACTCATCTGTCACAAGCCGAGGCAATGACACACCAGGGTCTCGCATAGTCAATTAGGGGTGAAGATACAGTCATGATTTCTTCTCGTAATTGAATGAAGACCCGTCAATCACGTACCCGTGGACGCGTCAACCTGGTGGGCGGGCAAGGATAATGACCGCAACAAAAACAATACGGATGAACCGGGTAACAGTTACGGGGAAACTGACAGGGTTGACACATGCAAGGGCAAATCATGACGGAGCAAAACTCCCCAGTGACGAACATAATTAAATTCTTTTTCTGCCGTAAAATATTACATTTCCGGGCAAACAATTTTTCTCGAAGAACTCGATTAGATGTTTCATTCGAAAGGCTGTGTGCGGGCATTTGGATGCGTCTGTTTACATGATGCAAGGCAGTAGAAGCACTGGGTAGCTTCCATGCGTTGATTATAGAGCTGAAGATGGTAAGGAAGATGACAGTATCAGCTCAAAGCAGGTTAGAAGGGATACTTTGCCCAAACAGAATTATTCATACGTCGGTAAGAAGTCTCGTTTTACAACTGGGATTGATAGCTAAGCACGTTTACCTGTCATGCAATAGTGGGTCGCGATTGAAATCGATATCTGACAGCGCTTACAAATCGTGAGATCGGCTTTGCCTTTACGGTCTAAGCAAAAAAGGAATGTCTGGTTAAAACCTTTTAATAATTTCGATGCGTTTCGTGGCGAGTCATCGAGAGGGTCTCCTTGCTTTTGGCTGGCAGCAGTTTGAAAATTTAAATATGTTTTCAACTTTAAAGCTTTTGCTCCGAGCATCATGGGAAGATTTTGGGCAATTCTCATCGGAGGGAACCCAACCCAGCCCCCGTAAGTCTGTGTGACCAGCTGTCGTTTTGGTTGCCCGCTGGCGTGGCCCTCTCTTGTTCCGGGGTTAGAAGATGAAGAGGAGAAGTTCGCCAATCGATGAAACGATTTTACTTTATGTATCTGTTGTAATCATCCTTGCTTGGAGGAAGAGTATACAATTCTCTGGTTAGGGTGGGAGGCAAAATCGAAACTGACGTTTGAATACATTTAAGTCTTTTTATCTCGATTTGGCAGTTCGCCAATCGAATTTCCGCTTTGTCCTTGTTTGAGTATGACCCCAAAAGAAACTCTTATTGAGCAACTGAAAATACAAGACAACATTGCGTATTCATTTACAATTTAAGTTTGCCCGCTTTTCGCTCCAATTTTATTTCTTCTTCTCAGTATCAAACGTTTTCTCATTCCTTTGACACCTGTTTCATTCCGCGTTGCTTGCCCGCGAGCAGAGAAACTAATTATGGTAAGAGAAGGTTGGATAGGAAACAGGATGTCTGGAGGTTGTTTGGTCAAAAATAATCACTAATGTGATGTCCCTGTTTTGACATCTTTCTGCCAGTTATATCTTGTGCATGCATGGCGAAGGAAAATTCTTGCAATCTCGTTGTAAACTAGTTTATTTTTGGTGTTCATTTCTAGTGCATACATGGCATTGGAACAAGAACTTATACTCTGCTGGGGCATGTCTGTTAATGCACCACGTGGTGTTATATAGTTGCGCTTCTTCTGTTTTATTCCAACCATTTTTTTGTCCTTTATTGGAAGTCCGCAAACCTCTGGGAAAAAAGTTTTTGTTATGGCCACAAACAGATCCGCTTTACGAACAGACTGGTTCCCGGTCCGTATATTATCGATGCTGATTGTTGGGCGGGAACCATCCTACCTCGCAAGAATGAGGATTATTGGAAACCAATAATTTGAAATTGTAAAGTAAGAATTTTGGAACTAAACATGTGCCGATTTTTTTTTTTTTAGAGAAAGCAATCTATTTTTCGGGATGAAACTTGAGACCAGCACGGGTAACGACATCTTTAAACTACTGGTTTCTTTTCATAGCCCATTTTGATTCTGTAGAAAAATACAGTATGAAGTATCGAAAGTATTTAAAAAAAAAAAAACAATGAAAGAACCCGACTGAAACTGCAACTGTCTTTCCCCTTTTAAAACATGCAAAATGGGTTCGAACAGAAAAACTCATGCGGATGCGCAGTATATAGTTGGTTTAGTGGAAGAACGGAGCTTCATATACTTGAAAACGCGTCTGCACATAATAGTGGGGCTTTTGCGCTGTGGAATTAGTAGAGAGGCAGCTCTGCCAGTGTTGCTGGTCCCAAAGGGCCAGCCTAGTGTCCTCCTTGTACAGGTCTATCTCATTAGGGAGCCGGGCAGTGCTATTATATAGGATGATTGGGCTAAGTCTGGTCCATTGTGTAGACCCGATGCACGAAAAGACTTCCAGTGTATAGCCTAGCCATGCTGAGTCAGTTGAATGGTTGTGTGTTTTTAATAGTCTGGTTGGTATTTGAATGGATTCTACAAGCAACGTACAAGCCTTGTTTTTTGGTATTTTTTTTACTTTGGCAATTCCTTGCAAACAGTGAATAACCATGGGAGCAATACTGAAGCAGAACGATAGCATCTTCTACAGCCTCTTCTTGTATAGCACCGATTTTGAAATTCGATTATGCTACGTACGTACAAAAAGATCAAACATGTTTTTCTGTTGATAAGAACAGTCTTCAACAATTATCGTCTCAGTACTGAGTAAATACATCATACAAGAGCCAGTTGCAAAAACTAGGCAACGGTAGTTTCGCTTTTGTGATCTTTACACAAGTCTCGTCACAAGCTACGGACCATAAGCGCCGTGAGCCTGGATGGAGGCCCGAGCCGTGCGAGGCCCGTGCCACTCCAACACCGGACGCGCATGACCTCCGGTGTAGAACGCGCGGTAGAACCAACACAGATTTCCCTGCGTTTGTCACGTTCTTTGGATGTTCTTGGGGCTGGCCGGCTGTCAAGTCGGGCCATCTTACACTGCCCACTGACATGTACGGAACGTGAACGATGAAGACAAGCGCATATTAGGGCGAAGAGGGGCCATAAATAGGCGGGAAGGGGTTTCGATGAATTGTCCTAGTTTTGTTTTCTGTTCGGCCGCCTCTGCCTTTCATCCGGCGGCCGCTTCACAAAACCGCGAGGTATATGGCAGATAAATACGGACAATTCAATATTGACAACTGCATGCACGCATATCCATATAAAGCCTGGAAAGAGTTTCGGCCATTTGATTGACAGTCTTTTATTTTCTGACTTGGAATTGGAAACTGAGTTGTATCCCTGTGTGTAAATAGTGTGAGTTCCAAGTAACGTGAATAATATACCCAGTTGTTTTGGGGCTCATTCAAAGTCGGATTGCCCAATCCTCTCTTCGGTTACACATTTGCCTTGCTGATTGAATACATGTCAGCCAGGTGTGGTTTTACGGTTAAAATTCAGAGAAACAGGCTCGATTTCATTATCGGAATACATTTTTAGAAACAAGTAGTCCTCGTCGATAGACCAGTTTAGAAAATTGTTTCGAATGTAATCTTTCTGTATTAAAAATAATCCAAAAGGTCTCAGCCGAGAAAATGTACTAGCAAAAACAATATGCTGTCGGTTTTCAATGACCAATGCAAGTCAGCCGAGCTGCCGTATGACATTTCGTTAATGCATTTTACAACAACTTCTTGAATTGAGATGAAAAACCGCCTCAGGCGTTAACGAGGAAGGACATGTGACGTCATCAAGCTGAGGCCGTGGCGTAACTAGGATCTGATTAGCAGAGAGGAGGGGGTGCATTTTCCCTACTTGGCAATCAATCTTTATTTCTTTGCCTCCTAAAATGTAAAACGAGGTGAAGGCCAAGGGGCATATGCCTCGGGATGATGGGAGGAGGACCTTCTCCAATGCCCCATTTAGTGACGCCTTGAGCTGGATGCAATACCTATATAGCCCCGTTGCCTAGACTTTACTTTTTGTTTGCAGAAATTGGTATTCATGAAATAAACAAGTGGAAAGTTCTTGAACATAGACAACGATTAGGAGAACGCCAACCGAGGGCTGCATGGTTACCCATTGGTAGAGCGCAGGTACAACTGTTCGGAAGGTCGCAGGTGCGAATCTCGCTCCAGTACAAATGTCTTTGTTTAACCTTATCATTATATTTTTTTATTAACCTTTACAGGAGCAAGGCTGATTGGGTGAAAGCCTGGAACACAGAGCGACACGTGGACACATGTAACGAGGCCCTACTACCTGTCTGGGACATAGCCTGTCAAAATGACATACGGAAGATTAGCAAAAGAACGGATCGAGGTGAGTTCAGCTCTCAGCTGTATTACGTGGAGGTCGAGTCTTGTGGATCGCCATATTATGAATCAGTGACTATTTCTTTCTGATACTTGTCTGGAGAAAAATTAGGACATTATTTGCATGGGCGTTGCGATTGGGGGGGGGGAAGCACCCCTCTGAAAAGTACAAAGGGAGGGAGAAACAAAGAAGAAAAAAAGAGGGGTAAAGTTATTATTTGCCATTAATTGTATACGCATTTAACAAAATGGGCGTCTTCAGGGGTGTCAATGGGGATGGGGTGGGAAGTGTCCACCCGCCGACCCTCGAAAAACATGATAAATTGAGAATATGCTAGAGAAATACAAGGATTTGGGGGACACAACTTGCTTGGCCCCTCCCCCCCCCCTTAGAAAAAAATCCTGGCGACGCCCATGATTATTTGGTTAATCAGGTTGTATATATGATTTGGCTCATTACAGTATAATGCTTATATTTCCGTCGTGATAACGCCCTCTACTTTTCGTTTTTAAAGGCAGCATGCTAGACATGAGATAAACACGCTAAAACATAGTGTTTAGCTTTTGAACACAAGTCATTATAAACGCTTTTCGGCTCAGGTTATAAACTTTGTAACGCGTTTAAGTGGCTCCATTTTGAGTCGGATTCATTATGCAGGTATCCATGTACCAAAAAAAACAAACATGAAACAGCCGGTTGCAGCTTTCAGAAAAACAAACCTATTTCGTAAAACTTAAAAACACACCTGTTTATATGATTAAACACTGTACAAATTATAAGCGTTTATCAGTCAACACGGTGTTTAGTGTTCCTAAACAGAATCACTGCGTTTACGAAGCGTTTATTGGTTAAACACGAGTTAAACACGGAATGTTTGTAATTTGTTTTCCTGAAAAGCGATGTCCAGTTTAATACAAGCACTGCAAAAATTCAACTGCCTATTTGAGGCCTTTTGTTTGGTACATCGATACCTGTGATAACGAACCCGACTCAAAATTGGGCCCCTTAACGCGGTACATGTTTATACACCGTTGCAAAGGAAAAGCGTTTATAATGTGTTAACTAGATTTTACAGTATGCCGTCTTAAAGTGTTTTCTTTGATGAAGAGCTGGATAGCCCCAGGGAGGAGTGGATCAAATTAACGAGGACCTAATTATATACCTGTACCGTCCACCTTTTAAAATTCAACCAATAGGCCTGAACTATGACTACCAATGTATCGCCGGTGATGCCACAAATTGGCACCTTTTGCATTGTTACGGATGTACATTTAATGCATAGAATTTCTATTCGTGTATGATATCTACGACTTTATGTTAACTTGTTTGTCATTTATGTTGTTAAGTTTGTTTACTAGATAGAACAGGCTTTTCAGTTATACGAAACTCCCCGTATAAATTTGGTTAAATAGTATCTAATATCCCCAAGTATTCTTGAGAATTATTGTTCAATGTGTGTCAGAGGATTATTGGGCTGATCAAACGACGAAATTTTCGTGGATGATGTACTTTCATCTTGGCATGGCCAAATGCCGTTATCAAGACCCCAAGGGCCAATTTTGTTGTCATCTTCCATCGACACCTGAAACCTGTTTGAGTTAGGCGTGAAATTGATACAGCGACTGCCACATAGTATTACTATTACTACCTGTTGCCCGCGGGTGCCTGCGTTAAGTGATGTGAAATTAAGAGCGCCAGATGAACGAATATACAGACTGAGCCCATCCTCGACGATTGAAAATTACACAAAATTGCACTGATTTCTCGTATGGAATTCCCAAGTCGCAATATGTTTACGAGTCAGTGGGGAACTCTTGATGATATGATGCGGTGTGTTTCGTGGAGATATACCTCAGTTTAATAGTTTCTGTATGGCGGTGCGGCAAACAGTCAGGCATCTTTGCAGTCTCCGGACGCAGTACCAGCATCGACTCTGACGGCTTTAAATTGAATCAAAACACGTCGGGACAAGGCAACTAGGGACCGCGGGGAAAGCTGGGGCCAAATCATCTTCCATCCCGGTTTAAATATAACTGGTTGTACATATACTTCAGGGGACTTGCCCCCGGCAGTCCTTCAGATGCATCGATCGCCTTTGTGCCGCACCTCCCTAATAATGTCTTAGATTGATTTCGCTCGATTTGATAATTTTTACTCGGCTGATCTGGCCCCAAGAGTACTCATTGTCGGTAAAGGAATGGATCATTTTGTAGCACAAAAGTGCCATCTTCGAGACACACACAATACAATTCAAATACAGAAGTCCTATAGACCTTATTCCGAATCTTGCAGAAATGTTGGAATTGGCTGGATTGGTGACGTCACTGAGGTTTCCGGGCAAGCCAATGGACGTTGTGTAACGATTACTTCCCTTGAACTTGCAGCCATTTGGATGAAGATGGAACGTGTGACATTTGGGGGAAGGGCTCGGTTGGCCTGGGGGCCCGATATTCTTTGAACCGATGGAAGTGAACCGTGAAAAGTGACTGGCGGACGAGAACGATTTTCGCGCAGGTTGGGGATGAAGTCGATTAGGGGGGACACATTAACCGATTAAATTGAACACACATTATCAAATTACAACCAAGGCTTCGCTCAGTCCTCGACGTGTCTATTTGGATCTGTTGTGAACGAAAGGAACTTAGGCAAAAAAATACAAGCGAACAATGTTAATATGACCGGCAGTGAGGACGAAAATTCACGTTTTCACTAAGGCACAAGAACACATGAAATGTAAAGAATTTTCTGAAATCCAAAACATTTCCAAATGGATATAAGGGTTCGACCTTTACAATTTTGACCAATTTGCATTGCCAATGCCAGCTAGCACAACAAATTGAAAATAATTAAAATACTTATTACCCAAATTCCAAATCCCCCCATTAAAAAGGTCTTATGAATGATGGTAAAATGTTATTACTTGCAAAGTTTTGGTCGCCATTTTGTTTTATTTTATGGTTTGATGAAATATATGCTAACATTACGCACTCCCTCCCTGAGGGAAAGTGTGTTTCGAATAATCTGGCACGTATCACGTCTGTGTGGACGAAGTGTGTACAAAATTTACTTTAAAAATTACTGACTGTATCAAAGACACACAAATCAACTTCGTTCTCCAGTTATATTGATTCGCTTCTATCAACCAAATCTACCAAAAAAGCTGATTAATCATTCACAGGCAAGAAATACATGGTAAAAATCTCTGACTGATTTGTGTTTCTCTTCCATCAGAGTTTGTAAAGGAATGGAACGCCAAGAACTTCTTGGCGGGCAGTCGGAGGAGAAAACGCGGCCTGAACGAAGAGTGTTGCCATGAGGACCTAGGCTGCGTGTGGGAGGAGGTGGCAGAGTACTGCGTCATGCACGGCCGAGAGAAACACGAAGACGGTAGCCCCGTGCGACGCAGGCCTGGCAGGAGGCGCTAATGGCCGACTCGAGACCCAGACTAACACCCAACGAAGAATGTGTAAAATATAGACTGTTGTATACATACATTGTCATTCTTGAAATCAGTTAACACTTTTGAACAATTTTTGTTTGACGAATGATGAAATTAGGAAGTTAAGTTATTGAGCTTACTATAATATAAGACATACATACGTTATACATACTGGCTGTGCGAAAAAAAAGGCACCCAAAAGAAGAAGAATCGATTTTAACGAGCGCATCCTTTTTGGGTTTACATAGCAGTAAATACATGCGACCTTTCTATTGCATTGAAAGAATCAGCCTTACGTTCGTAGGTGTAGGAAGCGCCCATAACAAAAATCAGTAGCGTAGCAAGAATCATAGAGCGCCCTCCAGCGTAGCCCAAGAAACGACCCCCGCTAGTTCTCACATTTTACATGTACGGTTTTCCCGCAGTGTAAACTTGGATTTGAACAACTGATTCGTGAATTGACTACGTATACGTGAATAGTTTCTTGACTCTAAAAACTAAAAACTAAATATCTTGGCACGCAATAACAAATGACGCCATCTGCTTAATTGGCACTTTATGTCGTCGCCTGATTACCCTAGACTATTGTTTCATTAGATTCGTGTGCATGTACTCAAAGTTGGGTTATCAAAGAAGGGGACAAAATTGTAAAGGAATTTTGCAATTACGACCTCGGCAGGCCCGTCACCAGCCCTTAAAATCAAGGGGGCCATTGTACCAACTAGGGGGCCCACTTCCATAAAAAAAAAATACAAAAATACATATGTATGGCTTTTGCCGGGGGCCAATTGCTCGCCAAGGGGCGCCCGGCCCCACCAGCCCCCCCCCCCCCCCCCCCTGGCGACGGGCCTGATCCTCGGTCTCTACTAACAGCGCTATTATAATAGCACATAAATTCATGTGGTAACCATGTACAAGTATACTTATACAAGCACACAATCCTTACTTACTGATACGCATGCACACAAGCCAAATTCCCAATTAAAACTGATGTACGAACAATTCTTGCTACCCTTAATTGCGAAGGAGCAGATCCATGTATTAGAACACATCGCCGCTTAATCAGAACATGCGTGATTCGTAGTGATTCTCGTTATTATCACCTAAACCGAGGGGTTTTTGTTTGCGGTGAGGATTAAAAAGAGAAAGATTCCGAGTGGTGCACAATTACAAACACTAAAAGTATCAGACCAGATGCTAATTAAAATAGACCTTTATTGTGTTGCAGTTTCCGTATACATAAAAAATATATAAATGGTGACAGGACTGGTCTTATTATATACGCTGTATGTGCGCTTTGTATTTATGCCTTTGCAATGATTGATAAGCCAGTTGTATCAAACAAGAGTCGGAAATAGTTACCAATGCAAAATACTTGCAAAAGGAAATACCTGTAAAGGTTTTCCGTTATGAAAAACTGTTCTGGTAAGGGTTTGAAAGTTGTCTTTGACAGGAATTCTAAATGGTTGATGCTAATCCTTCGTGGAATGATACGGAATTCCACTATACGTCGTGTCATGTCAACGCGTACAATTACCACTTTGTTTGTGAACTTCATGAACCTGAACTTAATTTAGTGTCACTTTACTTCGTTTTTCGCGACAAAATGACTGTGATCTATAACCACGTGATCGCGAACGATTGCTGAAAGTTTTTTCTTCAATTGTTCGGATACAAATTGTATTTTGAGCACGTTCCACCGAGAAAAATCTGAGATGGAGCGTCCAAAGCAGGAACGGGTATGTTTGTACTTCTCCCATGCAGCTAAAAATTGTACCCTCAAAATGTCCAACAGAACATTGTGTTTTAATTCATAAGTTATGACCATAAAGCATGAATTATTGTAAAACTGAGCGTTGCAATTTCAATTTAGTCAATTTATAGCACGTCCATTTTGAATAATGCATTAGGCCTATATCACTTTTTTTTTAATTATTATGCCTGTGTACTACCACCTTAATGTTTATAACTACCTTCGCTCATCTGAAACAAGTTCCCCGTGGACTTGGTTTGTAAACAATTCGTATAATTTAAAACCTTTTGATTTTAAGGTTGAAAAAAAATCTACCGTTTATAGGTGTTTGTCTTCTTTATTTGTAATTTAAAAAAACAACAACCGCAAAAGGCCTTTTATTCGCTTTAGTAAACTCATTGACATGTCGTGTTATGTCGTGTAGCTTTTTTTGTGAATACAGAGGGCTTGGGTTTACTCAGTTATGTAGTTATGCAGATGAAAAATATGTAGGCCTATGATGCCCAATTTGATGAAGTCTGTATAGAACCCATTTACTGAAAACAGTAGCATAAATAGGTTCCCGTGCTCCGCCACTACTATCGAAAGAAATATTGTAACCGACGCACTAATATATTGTACAAATTTTACTATACAAACTTTACTGTACATCAAACTGTACGAACTGACACGCCGCCATCGATATTAAATCAGAAGTAATGGTAAAGGTGTACTTTAGGACTCCACTATCACTTGAGTTCTGAAACGTTTTTCCCTCCAAAAAAGGACTTCTTCATCCTCTACCATTCTTTCTTTCCCCTAATTTTCAAGATTTGCAACAGTATGTGACCCAAAAATTGACTTTATTGCCATTTACTTTGTTCTGTGCATTTATATGTACATCGTGCGTGAGCTCCCACTATTGCCATCTTCATTTCCATATTGGGTTTTCTTCGTCATTGTCGTAATTTTACCCCCTAAATTCACTTTTAAAAAAACGCCCTCTTCCCACAATATTTGTGTTTCTTTCAACATCGCCGGCTAGTTTGGCGAGTCCACTAGGAAAGGTAGTCGTGTCAACATCACCTGCTATTTTGGCGAGTCCAATAGGAAAGGTTGTCGATGTCCTATGGGGAAAATGTCTCGAAATACATTTTCTATAGAATGGCTAGTGGTTGGGAAATAAATATCTTACTAGTGGTCTTGACTTATTGAACTATATACTTGAAGTGCGAACGCGGAGGGTCTATATCTCTGGGTGGCAGCAGACAGATTTCTTTAACCCTGAGCATGCGCTCCACTGTGTCCCAACGACATAATTATCAACGAACTGTTGTGACTACAATTTCATGTCCCAAATTGTCTCGTCGTGTCTAAAGTTAACAGGTGATAGACTGAAATTTACCGACAAACACCCTGTGTACAAAACAGGGATAACGTACTTTCTACGTGACATTGTGCATCAATTATTCTGTACACTGCCTAAATAACGTGTATGACGAAGATGTAATGTATATGCCTACTTACACCAGCAGTAGTTACCCTTCTATTTTTTTCGCCGTTGCCATTTTTACGGAAGTCGGAAGTTGCGCATGCGTAAGTTGTCAACAGAATGGTTCTCGGACTTCACCTCTCTATTTAAAAAAAATCCTTCAGAGCCATTTAACCCGAAAGAAATATAAATCTGGCCTGCGCCAGCTGTTTAGGTGAGTTCAAAACATAAGGAGGGGTCCTAAATGTAACTACTGCCATTGTATAATTTATGTGCGTAGTTAAATACCGAAGCTTAGTAAGGTATTCCTTTTTATTGCCTCGTTTCTGTTCGGATTCAGTCACACCAACATGTTTTAAGTGTTAAGAAGATTCAAAGTGAAGTGGGCAGTCTATCTTCATGTCCTTAGATTAAAAACACTGATCGTAACAATAACCCGTTGAGTATCCTAGCAGCCCTTCGCCGTTTGAATTGAGATGTCTCACCTAGTTTTCGTTACTGTGATGTACGGGTGTTTTCCTTGTAATTTTTGTTATTTGCTTCATTTCCGTTATTGAAATTAAAGAACACAGCGTTAGCCTAGGAATCCAAAGTAAAATGTCGTCACGATTTGATGACCGCTCATCAAGCAGGTAATATCACAGCTTTAATCAAATTTCGACCCCAAAAATTTTATTTTTAAAATTGATAATTGATATTTGGGATTTATGATGGCAGGATAATAAAGAACAAAATGAACTGTTTGACTTGTGTGACTTTTTCAACTCAGTCTTCACGCCGTTCAACTCCTAGTCTTTATTACGAGCTCAGCTTGAAATGAAGGTATCTTCGTTCGTTGATATGTCTGTTTCATTCTGGTTTGGAAGTCTATGAAAAAATACTTATTTTAATAAAGCAACCACGATAAATCTACAAAACTTCCTTATTCTTAGTTGATTCTTTTGCACCAGCACTTACGGGAAAGTTCTATTAGAAATTGTTGGAAACCATCCGGTTGCCTTTTTTTAATGCCTTTTCCCAGTGTCGTAAATCTGTGCCGGCGGCGAATTATTTTTTTCCCAAACGTGGTTGTTGAGCGCCCTCTATTATACTTTTATGATACGTACGCAGATATATAATGCCATGAATAACGGTTTGCTGTCGAGTTCTCCAATGGCTCAGCTGGAATCCGCATTTTGTTTTTCTCACCACGAAAAAGTGGGGGATCGATGATCCAATGGCCCATCCCCCTGGTCAAAAAGTGTGTGTGTGGGGGGGGTATACCCCACACGCACCCCGGGATTTACGCACCTGCCTTTTTCATTAGCCCTTTTCATTGAAAAAGGCTACCGGGTGGTTATCGAAAGCTCTAATAGAACATTCCCGTAGATTCTGACGAAAAAGAATCAACCACGAATTATGACTAAATCCCAGCAAAGAAATCTTCCCCATGCTATTATAAACTTGAACTTCAGTTATGACTTGCCTTCTGTCTCTCAAATGTCAACCCTTGCCAAAAAGCAATTTGGGCGATTACACGCACACCGTACACGAGGCAATTGAAAGATGTGATCGGGATATTGGCCAAGCCTCAGTAGATTGCTTCGAATGTTTGCTGATCCAAACAACGGGAAAAAAATAACAAATATCCCATTGAAATTCTTTATTGATGGCTTATACGAAAGCTAAACCCAGACATCCTTTGTTTGACCATCAGCTTGTGTGATTGAACGTGCTTTCGCCTTCGGACTTCGTAGCAAAGCCCATAGATTTCTAAACCCTTCAGATTATTTTGTTCTGGGCTGTTTTTCAGTGTTGCCTTGCCCTTGTGTGCAGCTAGCTTCCCCAATCTAAATTAATTTGAATGTAAATTTGCTGGACAGCGTGGGGGAAAACATCCGTCCCTTGCTATAGTCGATCGAAATTGGCGAGTCTGATGTGCAACGGAATGGTCGTTCTGGTAATTGCAGAAAATGATATTGATTATTTGACAACAACAGTGTCATATCGGCGTTTTCACCTGGGGGAAACGTCCATTTTCTTGAGGGTGTTGTGGTGGAGGTCATTGCCCCCGGCCCTAAGATGTCATGGAGTCAAACCCCCAGAACGGTTTGAGCAGTGACTTGCTCGCAATCATTGTGTTGCCTTATGTTTCCACGAAGCGTCACTTCTTCATAACACCTGTCCGGATGTGACAAGCACGTACTGTCATTTCCTGCTAAGTGGATTGACACATAATGCCACATTCAGCGTGGCCGCTCATCAAATTTCGGAATTCCTAGATGACTTCAGTACAACTTTCTAAGAATTCCTAAGAAATTCACAATGGTGACACTGTCAGCCGATTCGATCTGGAAAGCAGGGGCTGCCGTATTCGATCAGCAAAGCAGGGGCTGCCGTACGCAAAATGCATAATACAAAACAGTACCCTAAGTTTCATGTGGTTTATTTTTTTAATCAAAACACGAATAAAATTGCGCTCATGAAGTGTGGCAAGAAGTATTCTGCACATGCGCAATCACCACGTTTTCCTGAGTGCATTTTGGCCACTGATCTATATGGAGATCAGTGGTTTGGGTTCATCATCTTGATGCTCTATAAATGCATGCACTGTTTTAAATGCAGAATACTCATTTTGGCAAACACGCCCGCAACGGTGGGACATGGTACTCCCCAAGCACACATCTTATTATATAACGCAAGCTCCTCACTCAATCTTTATACATTCACACTTCTAAAATAAAAAGTTGTTTGCGGTTTATCCAAAGCACTCAAAATCCCAAGATTTGGTGCACATTTGAAAAACGTTCCCCAGTCCCCAACTTTTTTCCCAAATTCCCAAGATCTTGGAAAAAATTACATCAGCCCTTTGCAGATAATATGGCGGACAAAAAATACACACAAAATGTACAAGTTCATACCCACTCCATAGCGCCATCCTTTGTTCATTTTCTCTCAAATAGGCTAATTGCTTCAACACAAATATGTTGTTCGACATTGAGTTCAATACAGAAATTGCTGGCTTCTCTGAAAAGGTATAAACAGCCACAATACCGAGCGTTTTCGTCTTCAGTTTTACACATACAAGATTTGGTTTTGCACACAAAGAATAGTTCGGTGCGTAGGCTCCCTTCAATGCTTTGTCGCTGGCTTCGGCCTATCAATGCCGCTGGCACAATATCGCTAACGGTGTAGAGCCTGTGAAAGTTGACCCCTGGTGGCGGGCTTCCGGACCCCTCGAACTCCGGGGAAAAGTCGGAGTTTCTAAAATTATTTTTGGTAGGCCTACATTGATTTCTTAGGAAAATTACCCTCGGAAAAGATCTTTGTAAAGTTGCTACTAGCATCTCAATTTATGGAAACTGAAAATGTAACGAGGTTGAAAATATAGCAACCCCTGGGGACGAGGTTGAAATAACGCCGTCCTGTTTTGTCAGTCCGCTATGTTTTAAAAAAAATGCAAATTATAGTGGTTGACTACCTGATCTCTGAGAGTTATTGTGATACCGTGTTACAGACTTTAACAAACGAGATAAGTGGACAACTGATCAAGCGGGCGCGAGCGCCGTCCTATGCCAATAAACATTCGGGACATAAATCGCCAAAATGTCACCTCTATTTTTACCAAAGATTGTCAACGCATTATGTTATTTTTACCCTAGAGCAAGGACCTCATAATGGGCATTCCTTTGTTCTCGTGCAGTAAAGAGAAAACACATTACCACTTGCACTGTAAGCGCTCTTTGAAACTAAATTTGTGACCGTGATTTACCTCACTTGCGACGAATAACCACAAAAGAAAACACTTAGAGCGAAATACAAGTGTCGCCAGTAAAGGTTAGCAACAGCAATCTAAAGCTGTAAATAATATAGTAAAATAGTAAATACATTTGTAACCTCACGTATTTCACAAGTCCGCTGGGATATATATTTTCTCTAAATGTCACTACACACACAGTCTACCGACCATCAGACGAGAATTGAGAAACACTCATTCTTTCGGTGAAAAGTATGTCGCTAGTGTACTTTTTTTTTTTAATGATGTTGTTAGCGAAATGAGCAGCAACTTCATGGCTCCACCAGCCGTTTTTATTTTCTCGCGGAACCACGTTGGAACCGTCCTTGGAGGTGCGATAATACGCGAGATTTCCCCCGGGGGTTCCCTCAGAAATGGTTCAGCAACCCCCAAGGGAACCAAGCAGTCCCGAAGCAAACTATCAATGAATCACAATTTACCATTAAAAAAAAGAAGGTCTGCGTGTTTAATGTGTTGTGGCGTCACGATGTTGTTTATCAAAAGTACTGATGAAACCGAGGCAAAACCATGTGGAGGTTTGGATATAGGTCACTCTGGATTCTAGACATTTTTTTTCCAGGACGTGTCTATAAAATTCTTCGGTCAATTTGAAATAAATATATTATAAGGGAAGTTCATTATGCATTTTTTTTAATAACCTCCTTTTTTTAAGTGAAGCAGTTTTATTTTTTCGAAACTTCAGTTACGGCTAAACCAGGCGCCAAAGTGCACTCCCTGTTGATTTCAACGCAACAGCGCCCGCTGGTGATGAAAGTGTGAGAATTGTATTCGTTCAAAAGAAAATATAAAATGGATTGGTGGGATAAAAGTGTTGGTGAAAAGTGAAAGGGTAAAAAGAAATGAAGATAATTAAATAGAAAAATAAATGGGTAGGGGAAGAAGGAGTACAAGTTTTAGGGGGGAAAAATGAAGGAGTACAGGCCTCAGGGAAGGATGAACATGAAGTCAAGGAACGAGTGCAGGGCACATCATAAGTATAAGGTGAAAATGTGGGAGTCACGAGGGAAGCTGAAGGACCAACATTAATCAACTTACTGTGGGTGGCGGAAGAAGGCTGAGAAGAAAAGGGACATTTGAAGGTTATTTTACCAGGATTTGACTTCAAGCAAAAAAAAGTTCTTCACCTCGGATAGAGGCAACTTCAAGATTCAATCTTTATCAGGCCGGCGTTCCCCTCCCGACCCCCCGGAATCCAAAATGTTTTGGCGATCTAGTATTACCTGAGATGGGGTAGTAACGTGTGCGACTTTATTTTGCATGATTTGCTGAACGATTTCTGAAGGACTCGTTAGCATTTAAAAAAATATATATTAAAATTTAAAGAAGACCGCTATACGGACTGCATTCAAGCGCAAAGCCAGCGCGACTAAATCTAGAACCCATCGGCTGAAGTACGAAAGTCATCGCGTCGTTAGGCCTATACATTTTCGTTCTCACGCAAGGACGCGACGTGAAAACAAACGTGAACGAACAAGGAGACCTAGGAACGACAATGTCGGATATGAAAGGTCGTAAGTAAAATTCGTTTCTATACCCATTTCCAACTGCTTTCTCATCATTTCTTCTTGAGGATACCATGATAAAATTTCCACATCTTGGCGTGATGACGGTTACAAATCATTCTGTCAAAAATTATACTGAGCAAGAAAAGGGGCAACCAAATGAAAAATGCCCATTGGCGGGCCTCGAATTGTTTTTCCCAAACTTCGCTCGTACCCCCCCCCCCCCCCCCTGCCCTGCAAACAGGGGCAAGTTCGCGCAAGGACTATAGTTAACCATTGGTCGACTAACGCTTGCCCGAACTCTGTCTAGTCGACGATGGTTAACTACGCTAGTCGACTATTTGGAACCAACCTACTGGGGTTGGTTGCTTCGCTGGTAACCATAGCCGCGCGCGTTCATAACGTACAGCAGGGAGCCAGGATCCAGACGTTTTGCAATGACATT